TTTACATCATTAAATTAACAACATCAATGAACATTAAAACTGGGAAACTTCCTCAACAGCCAGATTCAAAAGTCTAATACACTCAATCACAATCGCATATAGATGAAAGTGAAAAAAAAGCTTTGTGCAGTGTAAAATATATCTATAGAGCTTTCTGTTTGCAACTTTCATGAGGACAGGCGGAATATCTTTCGTCTCACACCAACATGGACAAGTAAAAAGAAGCATGATGAAATGAAATAAAAGGTATTTCTTGAGAACACGTTTCGCCAAGTCTACGGTTCGTAGCTGTCCCCTGATAACTTTGGCCATCTCTTTCTTGCTACTCACCATGTTCCAAAGTTCGTGTAAAGTTGAATCCCACTGGTCTATAGCTTTACGCTCTGTTTCTTCTAACTCTTGTTTTCCTTTTTTATTTTCCCTTTTTCCACCAGGTTTGTCTATAGATTTTATGGTAACTAGCAGGTCATATGTATTTTACTTTTTTTTTTTTATTATTTCTATACAACACTTTCAATATTCTTCAAACGCATTATACGATACATAAGATATATATATGTACATGTAACCTTTTCACAAAAGTTCCTCAGCATTTTATACACTGAAAAAAAAACTCCGTAAACTTTTTATTGTATTTCATTTGGAATTTTTTCTTGAAAAATCTATCATAATGGATTTAATCAAACACAAATATCAAAATGTCATTTGAATTTTAAATGTTTTTACAACATCACAAGAAAAATTGGTAAAAGCGGAATCGGATTTGAAAACTGACAGAAAGATAAATTGATGAGTCAATTTTTTTTTTTCACGAGCAAAAATTAAAAAAGTGCCGATCGAATGAGTTTATTTTTGTTTTTATTTTCTTTCATCTGTGGGAAAATATTTCGATTTAATTGAGCATGAAAATTTTATTGTAAACATAACGAAATATCGAGAATAACACACCAGGACTCTTGCACTTGATAATAGTTTTCAATGTTTGCAACAATTCCGATTTCTATCTCCCTCTCGTCTCTGTCTATTTTCAAGCACCCTTTGTTGTCAGAAGGTATAGATAGATTGATCGGTTGACAACAACCAATCGTGCTTAGTGCGGCAACGTCTTGGTCAAACAAATTACTTCCTACCGATTAATTGAACGGACGGCAGCATAAATGGACTATCGTTCTCTATCATGAAATATGAATACTAGTGATTCTCTAGGTTAATACACTTTAATGAGCATTTAATTGAATGGTATATTTTCAACTGGCAAATACACGATTATCAACAATTTGCAGATGTTGAGAAAATAAAATGAAAAACATACTCTAACGAACACCAGGCGCCAGATTGAGTTCTAACGAACCACTGAAGTACTTGAGTATAGATTCAAGGCATTCACTGACTCTTGTTGACTTGTACGAAAGAGAGGGCAAGCTTCAGACGCCTTTGCTTCCTTTCTCTGGATATTTTTTGTATCTTTTTCTACGTATTTTCCCTTTCTTATTTTTTATGAAGCTTTCTCTCCTATATCTCTGTTCTTATTAATCCACACAGTTAATACTACACACACTTTTGATTAATTTTATGCATTATTATTTAATTAATTAGATGAAATCGATTGAAAAATATTTGTAGCGCACTTGTAAATGTCTATTAACTTCAATTAAAATGCCATGAAGTTGAATAAATAATTTTAAAAATTCATCATTTAAATCTCTAATTCTATCGCGTACTGTTGATATTTTGCATAATTTCGTTACCATCATTATCTCAAGATTCTTTTACAGATTATACTTTACAACATCATTCTTTTTCAATATACCACAAATTAATAGCATCTTACTAATTTGCAGACCAAGTTTTTAGAATAAATCTTCAGATGTTCATTCAATTCTTGATGTATGATATCATTAATAGAAAATGGTACTTGTTCGAAACTTTGTTCTTTTGTGCAGGAAAATCTTTTCAATAAAAGTACCATGGATTTTTCAGGTATACAGAGACAATAACAGACAGAAATAACAAAATGCAGTAGTGATAAATTTTTTAAAAATTTAACTTATGAAAAGTTTGTTTACGTAAATTATTTAATATTAATGGTTGAGAAGATCTAATTAATCAATTATTTAAGGAAGTTAGCGAAATGTTTAGTACTTCAGAACAAGAAGCAGGAAAAGTTTTCTAGTGAATATTTATAGTAATGAAATTTCTTAATTTACATTATGGTTTATTAATATTTAATACTTAATAAAGAATTATAAACTATTACAACTTTATTTCTATTTTGTTTTATTCAATAATAAGAATGAAATAAAAATTTCTTAGAAGAGATCGATTAATTCTTCTAATGAATTTGAAGACCCTCAGGAAAACTGAAGGAAGTGGGTTAATGAAATTTAGTGCCAGATAAAATATCTACATTCTTTTTTTTTTAATAATAATTTATATAATTATCGTTAATTAATATAAAATTACTTTTCTGATGTTTTTTATGACATGACAAAAAATTACGGTACACAACAATTTGTTAAAAAAAAGCTGTTGGAAGATAAAAAAACTTTTTTTTTTGTAATAAAAAGTAGCTGTCATGAAATATTTACTTTGTCATTATCATCATGATGTTCGAGATTATTAGATTTTTTTGCATACTTTAGTACATAATTGCATGGAAATGATCAACAGAATTTATTTCACCCCAGGGTTCAATTCTCTGCAATCTTTCTTATGAACTTGTTAGCTAACCTTAAACAAAAATCATCTGATTTTCTGATATAAATAATTTGAAACAACGCTATTATTTATTGACGCTATTAATAAGTAAAAATTATTCAATCGAAATAATTTTCTACATTCCAATTTCATTGGACAGAAAATTGTGCATCAAAAATAAAAAAAAAGTTGAAATATCCAGAATATGAAGGATAGGAAGGTGGATTTTTAAAGCTTCATCGATGATAAATAATTCATATTAAAAAAACCTGACAAAAATGTATAAACGAATGACAAAATTGTAGAGAGATGGTAGTAATATTTAACATTTTATTTATTCATAACGTTGGTTTATGAATTCGCTGCGGTAATACGTTGCAGTAAAGGAAAACCACGCAACATTAATGGAATAAATGAGTAGCTACGACGAATCAACGGTTCATACTTTATGGTCCCGACATTTTAATTTCTTGGAAAAATAATTTATCCACCATGGATAAAAGACTAACTTATACATGAACTACATATAGACAATTAATTTTAACAGCTACTGATGTGTTTTTTAATTTTCGCCTCCATTTTCACTTCTATTTCACCTTCCATAATGCGAAAATAATCCTGCAATTATTCAATTTTAATTCATTAGAAATAATTATTGTAAAAATTGAATCAAATATTACAACACATATTTTAGTTTGAAATGATGATAACAATTACAAGCTTGATCTTTATGATAATTATTTGAATAATTCCAGATGAATTTTGTGAACAGAATATTTTGTACAATCGTCGACAATGAGCTTTTTGAACAAAAGCTACAATTAAAATAATTCACCTTGCCTGCAGCTTAGTGATGCGAATTCGAGCAAATTAGTCATGAATGTTGTTGACTAATGGTAATAATAATTATGTTAACGATCATAAATTTTTGATTATATTAAGAATAGTCGATTACACTTTTGAGAGAAATTATTGATTATGTTTGGAAATGGATAATTTAAGAATTATCTGAATAAATAAAGAACGTGGATAAAACGATTTTATGGAAATATTTTTCATTATTATATGTCATCACATTAGTTGAACAGTCATTTCATAGACAATTTCCTTTTTGATTATCTACGTCTACCGGGTTATTAAGTAAAACATAAAAAATTTTATGTCGAGTCATTTTAATTTGCAGTCAAGTTATTCCGATGTACTTTATTCTCGATATTGCAGATAAAGAACTTAATTTTACTGTACCATTTATTTCTAAGTTTTACTAATTATAAAATACACAAAAATATTTAACAACTTTCTACTCAAATATTTTGCAAATAAAGGTCTCAATATTTTCATAAATATTAAAGTAGTGTTATGAGAGTAAAAACTTGTAAAGCTTTTGACGCTTCTTTTCCATCAAAACTTTATGGTTTTTGATTCATGTTAATTACAGTTGAAGTTTTCGAACTTTAAATAGATAATAAACTTGAGCTTTCGAACTTTTTCATGGAAAAGAAATTATAAACAATATTCTTTTATACACTTTTACATTTAAAAACTTGCTAGAGGCATTTTATAAGACATTGAAAGTCTGACATAATTGTAACAACTCATGAAATCTTTCATAAAAAAATCAATATAAAACCACAAGTCTGCTCGTTAAGATGACTCGAATATACTTAAACTACGTGTTATTCTTTTGAGTAAAATATTCGCAGTTACAAAGGAATTCAACAAATTTAATATATCCCATTCACTTCAATAAAAACTATCAAAATAGTCGAGTAAAAAAATCTGAGTGCTTTTTGAGGATTATACTTTTGGTGACTCTGAGAAGATTCAATAACATTTTCTACGCTGATTTGCGTCCAAGTTATGAGAATTCGAAATCGATAAAAGATTTTTATTTTGATTGAAGATACTTTAAAACTCCTAAATTCAATTGTCAGTTAAAAAAGAAAAGTATTTTTTAGTTGTATGAATCGAAATAACTTGTTAGAATGGATTTAGAAAATAAATTTACGCGTTGGTTTTTCCAGCATCTTTTTATGTATTAAAATTTGGCCAGGACTGCGATCTTATCACGTAGCATCACAGAAAATTCCTTCTTAGCAATCGTTACACTATTGCCAACGAATGTTTGATCTTTATCATTCTCTTTCTAACGTTCGCATGCTTTTCTATCCAGGTTTGTAGAAAGAGTAGTGCGGCGTCATCGGTCGCGTTGAGAAGAGTCTGCGCGGGAGGACAAACTGGAGAGAATACTAGAGAGCTTTGGAGCCAGCTGGCATTTGGGAGCCAGTAGGGGGTTGCCGGGCCGTGGCCTCACATTCATCCGCAACATTTATTGAAGTATATATCGAAAAACATTTGTTTAACAGTGCAAATATTGTAACAAGTGTTTTCACACTCTTTATTTTATACGTTGCACATAAATCCATTAATAATAGTTAAATTATATACTTTTTTTACTATTTCCGTAAACATTTGACTTGTAAACATTTCGAAATTAACAAAAAATAATAATGATGCTCAATGGATTTACACTAATGTACCTGTGAAATTTTCAACATTATTTCACAATACTCGATACCACTAACATTGAATTTTTTCCGAACAATTAAAACAATTTTAACCAAGTGTTAGTTTGAATTAAATATTTTTATGAACTGGAGAACAAAACGTGGGTGATGTTAGTGAATATTAATATTTATAATTCTTTTATTTCAAGTCATCAAGAGAACAATGTGAGCTTATGATCATGAAGGTAAGTTTATTTTTTTATTTTACAGAAATCTATTCCAATGTATCATTCAACTGGCTCATCCTTTTCCATTTTCGGCATATAAATTTTTATTTTAACCATTCACGAGCTTAACATTTGAATAAAAAATTTAATTTTTGATGAATGAATTCAAGTAGAAATGTAGTAAGTGTTACCATTTTTATTTTTCAATCAAGTTATGAAAAATAATTTTTAGTATAAATAATAACGTATCGGGATAAAAGCTCAATTACTTCTCATTCTGCCAGTAAATTTATTGTTTCATCGTTTTCTTTTTTTAAATTACCCAGTTTTCACACTTGAAAACACGACAGTGAATCCAAGCTTCAGCGGCCTTATAGTCTCTGTTTTCTCGGGGTCTGCGTTTAAAACAGTTATACACTAGCTAGTGAACTCATTCGCATCTCGCACCAGATACCACAACATATTAAACGACCCTCTTTTCCAAGTGGGTAAACTTCTTCGCGCATGCTTTGAAAATATATCTACCTATATATACATATATTTAACTTTTCTACATCGTATATAATTTTGCACTTAACGAGAAAGAAAACCTATACTCATCTTGTACTCGTAATTTCAGGAATGTTTTTACTACTACAAAATTACCGGCTACATTTCCCTACCAAAAAATAAATGGTGAATCTTTTACAACTTTAATATAAAATATTTCCACAAAAAATTTTTTTTATAAAAATACATTAATATGCTTTAGATTATGAAACATGCTTTTCATAAGCTTAACGTGTTTTATGTATACAACAGTGTTGGTTTAATGTATTCTAAAACATCAAAATATATTTATAAGAAAAGAATGATATACAAAATTTAATAATTCAAACAATTCCATTTAGCACATTGTAAAAAATATCTCTGAAGAGTTTAATTCTACTTCAGTTCGTGGATTAATGAATTTTATTTATATTCTTATTTTCTCGAAATGTTTCTATTCAAAGCTAAAAATTTAATGACCTATTGACCCGATAATAAAAAATGTATTTAGCAGTTTATATAGGATAGTCTGTAATATAAACTCAATATATATTAAGTAGAAAAGCTTTTAAAAATAAAGCTTGAGGTCATGGAAAAGAATAGAAAAAGAGATAAAGAGACACTTATTATTCAGGACAGCTTGATCTGATTGAAAACTTCTTCAATTCTATACGAATCGTAACGATTCAAGTCCACAGTTTGAAAATATAAAAAAAATATTTAATACAATATCATAGAAAAGAGAAAAAAAAATCATGGAAATGAATTTCTTAAAAATATCGCATATACCAAGTTTCATATTTGCATATGTAAACACCTTTTTCTCAAACATTGATTCTTCAGAGCAAAGTAAAACGTCTCTCGCGCTTGATACTACCAACTTCAAGTATAATAATTTGACAAAGTACACAGAAGAAAATGACTTAATAAATACAATTTGGTTTTAAAAACTTTTTAAAATAAATTGTTGATGAGTTTTTTAGAATTATTTTTTGTTAATATTTTCCTTTCATCATTTTTTCTATCGAGTGAGAGACAAACCGCTTGACAAAGTAATTATGATGAGATTAAAAAAATATAAGGAAAAAAAATAATTAATTAGTTTTTACTTTATTTTCATATTTATCATTAAAGCAACAGTAAAAATTCAAAAATAAAATGAGTTTAAGATGAAAATGACAACCAAAAATTGGTGTGACAAAAAAACACGACTTAATGTTTATTCAAGACAATGTAGCTTCTATCAATTTCGAACAAGAAAAATATTTCCGGTTCAAAGGAATGAAAAGTGTTTACTTCCAGCAGAAACGGAAATTGAATTTAAATAGGGTATAGGAATTTTCCAATGCTAGTACTAATGTACACAACAGTTTTGCAAAATTCCAAATAATTCGGTTCAGCAGCTTTTGCAATCCTACGGTCAGTTTGTTTGTGAATAAATCGATGTATAGACCGATATCTTCGAAAACTATAGTATATATGTTTTTCAGATACTTTGAAAAACAAAATGTAAAGTTTGGTACTTTTAGCAATACTTTAGTGAGAAAAATAACTAACGTGACAGAATAAAAAACCTTGGAGAAAAAGAAATTGGCAGAGCATTTATCTCTACACATTTATTTACGAAGGAAAAAATGGTGTAATTTTTTTCTAGTATATTTCTTGTTAGATATTTTTTTAAAATTTTTATAAGCTCATGGAAAAATAATCTACAAGCTTATATTGTATAATATAAATGAGGAGATCTTCCAAGTGCATGTACATTCACAAGACTTGCAGTTGTGTAACAAGATAATAGCAATTAAGGGTCGGTACTCTGTTCAGTCACAATAGATAATTAAATCAATAATACACTGCTAACATGATTCTTATACAGTATCTATTATCTAAGTGAAGATGTGTTCTATTATATCGAGATCTCTCACATAATCTACATTCTCAGCTTCCAACATTTGTACTATTGCCCACTTCTACATTCCAAACATGATAATAAAGAGTTCTAAGCTCATTTGAATAACACTACTGGAAAGTTCTTTTTTTCTAACTCACTTAGTGTCAATGACAATTTAAATCGCATATAAAGATAAATGGCATGTTAAAAAGTGAATAAAAATTGAAAAAATTGATTCCAATAAAATTGACTCGCAATAATTGTCCCGCAATACGTACTCGTATTCCGCATAAACGAGAATCAATGCCAATTTTCGGGTATTCATTTATGCGATTGCAGTTGCTTTATATCATATATGATATTTTATTACGTAATTCAATGCAGCAAAGGTTTATGGAAATCATAGGATTTTAGTACATTGTAATATTATCTATATAATGGTCAATTGTTTTGAATGCCAAATGTCAACCAAAAGATCGAATTTCAAATAAAAATAATTTATATCAGTTTTGTATTAATATAATATCAATGAATTTATTCAATAGCTATATCAAAGACTTTACTACGAAATTTGAATTACATTAAGTACTCATTTACAACTATACATAGTAATTAATAAATTGAATTTAAATATTTGGAAGCTCTATAAATTCTATAATTAATTATTTTTCATATTCTTCTCGTACTAATAATTTTCAAATATTCCTACTATTTGAGTTCTGCCAATTTTTTTGATAAATGTTTCTTATCAAAAATTTGACTTCACTTCAATTTCAGTAAGATAATACGTTTTGTTTTTGTTGATAACAATAAAATGCTAATTACATATTGAAATGAAATCTACATAACGTCATTGAGTTCATTTTTTTGAGGAATAATCAAAATTACGTGAACGTATTCAGATGGAAGAAGAGAATTATAATTACATGAAAAGAAAAAAAGACAAGAAAGTTTGCATTATATTATAACCACATAAATTCGAATGATTATACTCTCCTTTTGAAAATAAAAGAGATGAGAATAAAAAGTAAAAATAATTGAAGGGCAAAAAAGCAAACGACAAAGGATTTAGTTCATAAATATGATCCTCTGCAGAAAACATTTACGAGTCGAGATTTCAATAGACGAGATTTATAATACATAAAACAAGAATAGGTGACCAAAGAACTGTAGATCAAAGGTAGTTAGGGATGAAAAACGAAAATATATCAAAGAATGTAACCAATGTTTTTTTTTTATAAATATTCATTAAAATAAATAACAACCACATAACGGAATTTTTTTGATGAAAATAAGAAACAAATGAGTAGAAAAATTTCATTAAAAGGGTCAAAGATACTTTGGTTCAGTTTATTAGCGTTTTTTGTTGTTGCGAATGCATGATAAGCACTTTAATTGCTGACGCTTTACAAGCAATTACGAATAGCTAAAAATTTTAATTAAAATAAAACACCAGTAGTAGCATGAGAAGAATTTATTTAACATTTATGGGTCGTTACAATCTGTAATTCAGTTTTATTGAAAGTAAGAAATTGATTATCAGGAGAATAATAATCGAAACTTTTGCTAGGTAAATAATCGAAATCAATCGTAATTCTGAATAATCTTTAAATAAAAAGTTGAGTTTTATTCAGAGTATAAATCGAATATCTAGAATAAATATTAGAGCGCTATTATATTGGAGCATAAGACTCAATAACTACAGCTCCTACTTTCATACATAAAAAATCCATCTGTAACAGCATCAGAAGAAATTTGTAGTTATGACAACTTTAGTCTGTAACTACAACACAAAAAAAAGCTATTGCAAATATAAGTACAATCATCAGAAGAATTATTATTTACAAAATCATTATACATGTTTACCATCAAACTAGGATGATTAATCAATTTTTCATTATCTTAAACGTCTTATGTATGCTATTTTTATTTAAAAACGAATATTATAATAATTAGAGTATTGTAAAAAAACAAAAAAATTCATAAAATTACAGAATCAATGATTTTATTGATAATATTTTATTTTTATCAGCATATGCTTTGTTTTCACAACCCTTTTTTTTGTTTGAAAATGAGAAGTATTCGGTGAAAATTAAAAAAATGTGAAATTATTTTTTTTAAAACTGGTGTCAATACTATACAAAAATAGTTCAGAATGTAAATTCCATTTAGTTGATTTGACATAAAACATTAAAAATTATCAGGAGTATAAAACATTTAGCATTTAAATGATTGTTGTCATAAACTTTTGTTCAATCAGAAAATCATTTTTCTACTCTATAGATTATTACTGTAGTTGTAACAGCTTTTTTCTTTATTGCAATTACAAACTAACGTTGTAGCACCTACACATGCTTTTTGCTGAGGATACAAAAAAAAAATCTGTAACAGAAACAAACTGAAAATCGGTCATTGTTATAGAATATTTTTTCCGTGTAGATGGTTGTTGTTAGGTGTAAATTATTAGCGACACGAGATTAAAATGCTAAATTTATTAATGCAAAGAAAAATACATTTATTTTTAGAGCTTTAATTTTTTTAAAACTATATTGAACCGTGAAATGGAATTGATGGAAAAAAATATATTTCAAATACAACGACAATAATTGCTTCCTTTTTAGTTTTAACTTCTATTACAATACGGCTGTTCTTTTATCGCGTTTATTTTCACCTTGACACAAAAAAAACAAAAAAGCATGAATAAGAAAAATAATCAACTTTTCTCATAATATGCATCTTTCAAAAGAACATTTTTATTTTAAAAGGTAAATATGAACAACAAACACGCCCTAATGATATCTGAGTAAATATCATAATTATATTGCTATTTATTTCTGTTATTACAGGCAATAATTGCCAATAAAATTACAGTATCACCTATTACTGAACCCAATCTGAATACTTTGCAAATAAATTTAGTTTTAATTACACAATAACATACAAGCTAATGAAAGTATTGATAAGCCGCTTATTTATTTAAAAAGTATTCTCTTTTATTTGATAGATAATTATAATTAAGGTAAAATAAAAAAAAATTACTTTGAAATCATTATGAGTATTCAGTTTAATAAACTTATTAGAGTCATAAAAGCAAAATGGATGAATAAATGAAAAACGGTAACAATAAATTGATTTCAGTTGATTTGTTGTTAGCATAAATTTTTCCATGTGGGTTTAATTGTTTTTAATATGTATGAATTGATTAATTTGATATGGCCACTAAATATTTATAAAAATATGAAAAACCACAATTTATTTACATGTAGAAGATTTATCAATTTCGAGGCTATATTCTAGAGTAATATTGGTGTATATTTCTTGTTTACCATGTACAAAATGAATAAATAGATACTACAGATGTCAAACAGTTTTAGACGAAATTTCATCAAATTTGTTATTTTAGCCAATAAATAATAAATTTATGATGAATGATATCATAGTTTTATTAATCGACTTTTGTTCATTGATCAAAATTTTAGCTTCATTTATTATTAATTTTGTTGACAAATAAAATGGGAAAATCTACTCAAACAACCATTTATTCTCGCTTGGTACTGCTAAAAATGGGACTATTGATTTTTCAGTTTTCATTTATGAGACATCGATTGAGCTACAAAAAGCAATATCTTCCATCATTGTAAGCTAATCATGAATTGTGACAGATATTAAGGTTCCACCAATAATTTCATGACAATCAACCAACGATAAATTATTATACGCGTGTAAGTGACACAGAAAATGTAAAATCTTTTATACTCCTTGTCTTCTGTTTGCTATGATGTGTAATAAATTTCTGAGTTGTCGGGGTGAATAATGTGAGTCACGGGAACCAAAGAAAAGGAAAGTACTACCTACTGAAATATACGATAAATTATACTCACTATACGAGTATTCAATGGATATTGTTATCTGGTACAATTATTTGTCTCCAGAAAGAGTCTGAAAAAAATCCACATCAATCACCCATGGAAAATTTTCAATATCTTTTTTTCTATTAAAAAAAAACACGCGAGAAAATTGTAGTCAATAAAAAAACCTACATTTTTTTTGTTGCAAATAAAGTATTTAGATATAAATAGTACATAAAAAGAAAACAATTTTTTTAACAAAGAAAATCTGCTACAAGAAAAATTATTTATTCTTGGATAAATTTTTAAATAAAATGGAAAAAATCTGTCTGATGGTTAATATTTTTTCATAATCTCAAGTTGGTCCGAATTTGTTCCAACTTTAAAAGTAATTTTTAATAGGCAATTTTCTCAAGAAATGTGCAACAATTTTTGCATTAAGGAACTTCATTAACAAAGATTGAGGTCAGCAAGTCTTCGAAAAGTTTGAAGGGGAAACAATACTCTCTAAAAATAGTTTTGAAATAATTTTATAATAAAAAGTCTCATCTCATAACGAGTAAAAGTCAATTACGAAAGTCAAAAATGATGAATCAAAATTAATAAAGAAGATAGGAAGATATATTGAATTGATTGCAAGTTGAAAACGCTTTTGTACGTTGTATAATAGAAACAATAATTTCAAACTGGCATCTCCATGCAACTATACAATATGTAAATCACTTCATTGTTTTATCATCATATCGATTTTGGTTAACATTCACATGTCTTTATTTTATATATGATATAAAAAAAAACGATCCTATCAGTTGGATGAATTAAAACAAATAATAGATTTAAAATTCGATTGATCCAAAAAAAGTTTATGATCAAAAGTAATAGCTGATGATCCACTTCTATTCATCTGACATTGTATTAATGTCTTCAAAAATTAAGTAGAATCTATTCTATTACTCTACTTCTTTTGTTGAATTTTGCATGAGATAAAAGTCCATCTCTCTGAAATACCACTGCAAATCTGCAAAGTGAGTGATACTAGTACTTTCATCATATTTCTTATATACAATTCATCCTCAACTGATTACGAAATTTTTCTTCATCTTAATGATAAAAAAAAGGTTAAATGATTGGAAAGTGATTTAAATTATTCGATTTAAAGTAAGGTAATTAAAAATTAACTCCTTCAAGTCTGGAGAACATTTTAATCATATTTTATAGGAGCTACGCAGTCATTCCAGTCGTTTCTAAAAATTTATAACTTCTCGTAAAATATGAAACAAATTTTCTATAATAACAGATAAGCTATACCCAACAAAAAAGAATTATAAATCCAAAGAAGTTTGAAGAAAGTCTTTTCTTAAGATTATTTATTAATCTTTGAAAAAAATTGTTATTTACTTTATTTGATAAATAATTCATAAATTTCAACTACAGGTTTCTCTTCGCTGACCCCACAAACCAACAAAACATCGTTTGTCAATAGTTTTCAAAACTTTATAATATCAAAAATTTCAGTTCAATACCTTTTTTTTAAAGTTGTGGTGCTAATACAACAACTATCATAAAAAGTCTGTCTCAATCCACCAGACATACTTGAATTGTTTGAAAATATTTTGCAACAACAACTGTAAGTTGTTTAAAACTTGGACATTTTTTCAAACTCTAATGGCTGATAAATGAAACAACGCAACACTTAATGTGTGTTGAAACATGACAACCACAATGTTAATGAATCTTCATCATCACGTATAATTTATGTGAGCTCATAGATCTGTATCACATTACTTCGTGTTCAAAATCATAATCGTTATTTCATCGATACACGCGAACAGTATACTGATCGGTTTACATAGGAAACCATAAACATTCCGCGTCCACTTCCGGTCTAGGGCGCGCAGAATTATACAATGATATGCCCAGAGTCCGAGACCGTTCAGCTCGATAATACCGAATTATACGACCATTGAATTTGAAATAATCGACACAAAGTTTCCAGAACTTGGATTTGAATTATTGGAATAGTCCTGGTCGATATCGTGACAATGTGACCATATATTATACAAACAATTCTGTAGGAAAACATAACATTAGTAAAAAGATCTACTGAAGGAGTAGATATCGAGAGACAAATATACATGATTTATGGTAGTAAGAAAACATAAATGTATGTTCACGTACCAGGTGACAGAAAACACGTAGCAAAATCAAAAAGGACATAAATTTAGACACTTACCTTTGCAGCCGGCAGTAAAATATGGCTCCTAAGAGAATGAACTTCAAGTACCCCGCAAGATTGCTCGAGAGCTTCTTTATGGTCATTTCCATTGGGAGATTGGTAATGTACGAATACTCTAGCATTTCTTTGTTTTATATATGCTATGTATGTACATACGATCCTCGTACCAGTTGTAGCTCCTGTCTTCTCGTGTGTTTCAGGACTCTATGGTAACACATAAATTCATAAAGCGTGTTAGCTACGTATGTGCTCGAAATCCGGATGATGTTACCCAAACTATAAACATTACTTACATTTGCGAAATAAAATTAAACGAGACCACCATTTACGGACAACAAAAAATATTTTTCACCAACTGAAGTGAATATTGTTAGTTTTGAGAATATAAATTTTTCTCCAAGTGGCTCTTTTCCCTGAAATAGAGTTTAATTTTTTAAATAAATAGACACCGCTTTTATATACGTAATTAATGCTTTTTTCCAGTAAATGGTAAAAATAGTCGTCGGGTGAACAAAAAAATTGTCTTATTAAATTAACAATAATGAAGTAAAATATTCCTATATTAGACTTCGTGAAATGCTAAATATGCAATAAAGTGCAGTGAATACATTTGTGTCGAGAAAAAGTTATTAAACTTAACGTAAAAATGGTATATTATTTATGATTCTTGATATAAGAATTTTTTAATATTAACTGACTTATTTCCTACTTGAAATAGAAAAAAATATAGCGAAATAATTATTCATCAAATTTCAAGTGAAAAATCAAATTACTGATATGATTTTGATGTAAATATTGTTGATGAATATGTAGTTGGAAAAATTGTAAACCAGAATAGTACCAGCAGTATTTGGTGGATTTAATGTAACAAATTAAATTTATTTTCTCTCGTAAAAAAGACCGATTCTGAGGTTGCAAGCCGCATTTTGACGCGATGCGCCACCTGCATCACTGCAAAAGCGATGTGAGCTTTCATACCTTTTATCCCCAGACGCTAGCACTATTGCTCTGTTATGTTTGAACTGTATGTACCTCTACTTCGGTCAACTGTCTTGGCAAGTTGAATGCGCGCCAAGCGAACCTTAGTCCTGAGTTTCTCTCATACATATTCTAGACCGACGTAAATTTTAAAAGCTCATATTTCTCGTTGAGCACCACCTGTGTTGCTATTTTTAACGACAGTAGCTTAAATTTTTACTTTGAGAATGTATATCAACAGTCATTTTATATCCTCTTTAGTATATTTCTTTACTGTCATTACTTTCAAAGTTCTATCCTCTCAATTTATACCACGACTTTATGACTAAACTCTTTCAAAAAAATATGGTGGTTGAAAAATATGTTGACTCAGCAAGAATTCCTCCGTATAATAGAAATAAAGGATCAAGTCCGAGTATATGCTCTTGTAAAATACTTGCCCTAAAGTCCATATTTACGAAACTAACCGAACTACTCCGATTCCGTTTATATTCGAAGTGCACGTTCACACCATGACTCAAAGTCACAATAGATTATGTGACTACGTGCATCCATACTTCGGCGAGAAATGATCGATGATCAATATTAGTAGAAAGTTCATCAATCATTAATTCCAGTCAGTCTAACCGATTTATAAACAAATAATTTTTGGTCATAAGCACAGAGACAAAATACTCAGCTAATCTTGAGAATCAGTGTAATTGTAAATGTTTTTTCTTGTAAAAGGTATTCGGTAGTTTAAAAAAATTCATTCAATATTCAATGTAATTGATAGTAAAGAAAAAGTACAACTGACTTACTCTGATTTACATTAATGAATATAAATTCACTTAAGCAGTTTTAAATTGATTGAAAATTTTTCACAGACTGCACCTAACAATCAGAGTAATTGTCATCACTTTCATTACAAAACATGTTGTTCAACAAAAACAAGAACTCCGATTCAAGAATAGACTTATTCTCAATTTGCTGAAATAAAAATGATATAATTTCCAGTAAATAAAATAAGAAAAAACCAAACTGAATGAAGTTCTGTTTGGAAAAAAATTGTTCCGGAGGCATGTCGCCGCTGATGAGACGGAGCGGTACAAATTTGGAACTTTTTGATAGAATTATCTTCAGTTCAAATGTCTCGTATTTTTCTCAATGACAGTTCAAAAGGCAGAATATTTCACCGCTTGTGTATTGTTTTCTTGGTTACGCGTTGATTTAGTTCAAAGGAATAACATTGAATTGAATGTTGTGCGACGTTCAAACATTTTTGATAACATTAGTTACCTTTAAACCAAAGAAACTAGTGATCACTGCAAATCGTTTTGTTTTAAAATGACGTCACCCATTTGATAAACATTGTAGTGTCTTTTAATGCACTTGGAAGTGTTTAAAAAATGACTACAATGTAAATCGAATGAGTGACGTCATTTTAAAACACTTTAAGTGTTTTAAATTAAATCACTTCCAAATTTGAGATTTACGATGGTGTTTAAGCAAAAAAAACAGTTTTGTGCAACTAAAAATTAATGATGAGTGAAAATAAACTATTACAAAATTAAGGGTGTGTTTATAATAATTAAGTGTGATTAATTTAAATTATCATTGATTGAAAATCTTTTATTGCATTTTATATTAATTGTTTCATCAAAAAGTTCCGAATTTGTACCACTTCGTCTTAGCGGCGGCATTAAAATTTGGAACTCTGGTATCATTCTTTTGGAACAATTTTTTTTTTTTACTGGGTATTACAAAATGAAAATCAATATTTGTGATACTTCAGTTAATGCTTTTATTTCTTCAAAGAAGATAGGTAATAAATAGATAAAATATCGGTTCGTTAAAGAAGACGATGATATTGACCTTGTTGAAGGGTTGTAGAATCTAACTTGATTAAGCCGGTGCTTTATCGAAGATTAGTTATCCAGCTATCTAACCTTAACAAAATAGTCCATAAAAAGGAGTAGTTGAAATCTTATTTAAATATTTTAACTTTTTTTTTAATTTTATCAAAGTGTATAGCTAACAACTGTTCTTGGTAATAGCTGTAGTAATGCTTGTTTAAATGGCACCAAGCACAATTAAATTAAATGTTCTCTTTCTTAAGGTGTTCTTATTTAAATAAAAGTAGGCCAAGTACCCTAGCTGTTAACCCTACGAACTTTATGAATAAAAAAAAATTTCAAAAATACTAGAAATGGAATTACAGTAGCAATTAAATATTGCCACAACATTTGAAGTTCCTTGACCAATATCAAATTGATCATTTCAACTACTAGGTAAATAACAAGTGGCAAGTTATGGAACTTGAGTAGTATAGTTTCTAAAATGACCAATTCAATAGATACAAATTCAATTGAAAAAGTGAAATAGAAGTGCAGGCTCAAATTCTCGTGACGTATACGCAAATATTGAGTCAATATTGCAGTAGAGTAGATAGAAAAATAGTCCAAAACAATATATCTATTTTATACATACCTCAGGCATCAAAAATTGAATATACATATTTCCGGTGCTCGAAGACTTGAAAAAAGCACCAAGTAACATGAGTGGCCCTTCTTTAAAAGCTTTTTTCGATTCAATTTCCACTTTTCCCATAAAGATCAGAACTGCAACAGCATCTGTAAAGAGGAAAATGAAAATAAGTAGCAAAACTCTTGTGAAATAAAAGTAACGTGAGCTCAAAGTAGCAGTAAAGTTATCTAAACGATTATTATTATTAGTAACGTGCCGCAATGATGTTAACCAATGAGCAGTACCTCCTAAATTGTGCTCTTGCAAGCTCTGTATTGAAACAAAAAATTACCGGTGAATTTTAAGTATCATTTAATGCTAAATATTTAAAATAAAAAATGAAACTGACATAAAGGTTATAAAAAATTAGATACCTTTATAAATTTGTATAAAAAACAATTAAAAATTCGCTTGCGGTATATTAGCGGTATTACTCGTAAAACATTTTTATGTTAATACTACTTGTTCATAAAACATTTACAGCTCAAAGTTAAGAGCTCAATAGAGAAAGACATCTATGAAATTTAGGAAACTCGCTTTCGTAATCACTTTATTTTTCAGCTTTTTAAAAGCTCTTTAGCATAAAAAAGCCTTTGAATAATTACAGTTAAGTGAAATAAAAAAATTACATTATTTTTAATAGATGTAAAAAATCTATTCTATCATTTATTTAACAGTATGAATGTCGGTTTTACAATCTGACTAGATGAATTATATGATAGGTCGAAAATACAATAAAAAATAAACTTCATTGAAGTGCTTTTCTGTCATATTATCATTTTTTTCAAACGTTCCATTCTATTTCCGCTGTCTACAAGGTTTGATTTTTCTACTGCAGACGGTCTCCATTTAATCTTCTCACATTGGAATCAGTTTGATTGATTCTTTGAACAAAAGGAATTTTCACGAATGACTAAATCCGTTATTATTTGCATACTTTACCGTATAGAGACCGTAGATTTTCGAAAAATTTTATTTTTGGTTCGCTGGCTGATTGAAATGTTAGTCACGTACAAAAGCTCGCAGCTTCAGATTAGAATTCAGCATATCAAAAAATCAAAAAGATTTATTTCAACTGAGACATATTTTAATTCATTTTATTCAGTAAAAAAATGATTTTTTTATTTCATGATATTTTTTATTATGTTTCTATTATTTTCACGGTCATACTTGGATTTACAATGGTATGATAAGAAGAATGAAGAATAAAAAGGAAAAATATATAATGGTTAAAAAAAACGTATGAAAAAAGGGCAAGCAGAACTTGAGAAAACTTATTTGAGGTAGATTTGTCAAGTTATATTGAAGTATATAGCACCAACGAAATTTTAATTTCCTTCCGCTTTCTCAATATTCTCTGACGTACCTTCAGAAAAGGAAGTAAAAGAAACTATGAGAGCAATGAATAAAAAATGAAAATAAAACAAAAAACAAAATAATAGAGGAAGAAAATTGCTTTACTTTTTGTCTTTCATAGAAGCTTACTAAGAGTTTGGTTCTTCAACCTCTCTTTGAATTTATTCTTTTTACTTTTTAACACTTCTCCAGAGAAAGTATTGTCCGCGTAAACGAAAATTAATGGTAAGTCTAGTGAACAACTACAGCTATCCATTGGTACTCATTCATTGTCTTATTTTCGAATTTTTTTGCACTTTGGACACCTCACTCATTCGTCAACTGTCGCTAATTTTTCTTCATTATTTTAACACCTAAATGACCCAGTGATTTAACGTAAGTTGAGGAAACTTAGGGAGGAATTCTTCTGTAATTGGATCATTCAGTCAAGTATCATCAACTGATAATTCTGTTCAACAAATCACATTCTTCTCTTTATTGATTTTCCAGACATCTGATATTTATAAAATTATTTATACATAATAATAATATTATTTTTTGTAATTTATTTTTTTCAATTAGAGAAAATAAAATATCATTGATTCCTACAGCAAAATCAGTTTTTTTATTTTTTACAGAGAAAAGAGTGGAAAAAGACTTTCTGAATTTCAAAGTAAAAAAAAAAAAATTAATAGCTCACCTTTTTGTGCAGTTTTTAAAAATATTTTTAATTAAATAAAAATTGTATCCTCTAAAACATCAATATATATACTCCAAAAAAGAAGTAAATTCATGTCAAAAGCAAAGAATTCAATAAAAAACAACTTCATCATTATATTTACAGTTGAAACAGATTTTTATTCTGTCACATCTGAGTTCTCCATTCTTCAATCAGAATATTTTAAAAAAAAAAACCCACAAGACTTTTCTAATTTCCTCAAACGAAAAAAAAAAAAACTTGAAAAGGAATTACAGGTAGTAAAACTTGCCCCGTAAAACTTCAATAGACTTCTAAAATTTCCGAAAAACTATAGGAAAACACTTGGATCTTTTTATTCATTAAATAAATCAGTTTAAACTTTGTGATTCAATATAATAGCATTACTTTTGGACAACTAAATTTAATGTTCCAACTTTTCCATCAAAATTATAACAAGCAAATATTCTGCAAAGAAATAAAAAATATTATTCTAGAATTAACATCAATCAAAACAAAAACACTAAATATGTCGTAGTTATGAAAACTTTAACATAATTATTCCAGTTCTTAATTACACTTTTACGTCAGAATTCACAAGTTTCTAGTATTGAACAATTGTTCAAAAACCTCCAACACCCTTTCATCTTTCTTCTTCTCCGGTAACCCGTCGATTTCTCTTATTCCATTTCTGCCTTCTCATTAGAGAAATATTTTCTTTGTCAACAATACAGAAGTATTTCTCTGCATCATGTTTCATTTCCAGCAAGTGTGATTTAACTCCTTAACCACCCTTTAAAGAAAGGGTAGCTATACTGGTTATAGAGCGGTTTCTTTTCTTACAAAATATACAACTTCCGTTTCTGTCTCATAAACTAAAATGCTAACAAAGGTCTATTGTTTACACATACCTTTTTTTATGTTCTCTGAGGTTTTACGATATCGTTGGACGTACACTATTTAACAATGGTGTAGGTCAGGAGTCAGACTCAATGAAAATAATTATCCAAGATATGCAAGATAAATGACTGCATTTTAAACGTAGAATATATGAAAGATACTCAATGAGGGATGAATACTCAACTCTGTAAGATAAAATGAAAAAGTTTATGTATTCAATGCTTGCCATATACGATTACTGTAAATTTAACTTTTATAGATTTTATTCCTACATATATGTGTGGCAACAATTTTTCAAAATTGATTGCAAAAGGGATGAAATTCGTGAACGGGCAAGTATCCAAACTGATCTAGTAACCAGTCACGTTTACGTGGATGCTTTCTCCCATAGAGTATGCGGCAAGTAATATAATAAATATTCGCAATGTCGCTATTTTTCTACAACTTAATGAACTCGTTTGAATGTTATTTGTACATTAGCCTAAATAAATTATATATAAAGTGAACACGTTAAACTCTGCATAAAATTTACCAATTAAAAATATACATTATTCCGTTTACGATCTTTTAATCTACACATGTACAAATTAATTCTTGTAAATATATTATTTAAAGCTGGTTAAGTTCATTAAATACTTTATTAACGAATTTCACATATGTTTACTTGATTTGAAAATTAATTTAATACTTAATTAAAATAATAAAATAGAAATTGTGAAATAAAATATTGTTTCTTCAATTAAAATTTAATGGATAGAAAATTAATAAAAATTTCTTCAATGACTTTTAGAATATTATTTTCCAATTTTTACGTTCTATTTAATTGCTGTATGACAGGGGAATGCAATACTTTGAACGAAATAATTTATTTTATGATGGCGATCATCACAGATATCAAACATCAAATCATTGTTATATTGGTTCCATGTTTGTTGACTTCACCTCAACAGGACAAATTTTCCAAAACTCGGATTCACCCTCCTATCATATCATGTTCCGTTTTAACTACGTTTATTTCACAGTAAAAAATTTATCACTGATAGATGGATATGCTCATATGGTCGTGGACAAATAACGAGAGGAATAACAGCAGTTCGTGAATGATTTCTCATGTTTCATGATAAATCTGCAAGCAAAAAAAATTAGTCAGGTGCAATAAAACTTACTGCCCGGGAGATGAGCTTCTAGTTAAAAGGAAAGAGGCATATTCACATTTTTGACATAAAAACAAAACGTTACTCTTCAAATATGAAAGAAATAAACAATAAATTCATTATTTTCACTTGAATTCAATGATTCTCATGAAAATCATGAAACTAGAAAAAAAATAGAAAACGTAAAGTCCCATGTTCGTTATTATATGTTGATGTGACATATCGATTTTCAACAAATGTCGAAGTTGAACTGTATCCAGAAATTCAAATTAAATTTATTTTCATATGTATACAAAAAAAATTTTGTTAAAGTTTCATTTAACTCCGTAACGAAATATAAAAAACAAAAATCAGTGAAATGCAATATAAAAGTCTAATATCAATTTTAAAAAATACTCTCTTTTGTATATTTATACTATCGTCTTTGTGTAATATTATATAGTAAAAAATTTTCACTTTTATGTTATTTATCGCTGAAATTTCATTGAGAAACTCTATCAGATATTAATTTTTTACTAATCATTCGATATACATACTGGCGTCAGAACAATAAAATAGTAAAATTTTCAAATATGTCATTTTATTTTGCAGGATCTGTTTAATATTCATTAAGATCAATCATCTTATTATTTTCTCGTGAAAAAAGCTTACAGGTCAATTGGATTACCGTCAATTGCAGCAATGTGGTATTTCTGAGTACGGATGAGAAAGGCCCGATTCCATTTGCACGTGATTCCATTTCAACCGCGCTTGGCATGCTTCCGTTTCTCTCAGAACTAAACCTCGACCACATCGCACTGAGTATTAGTTTAGTAACATTTGAATTCCCAATGATGTTAAGTTTTATGTTCAACTGTTTTTTTTTATCGAACTAAAATTTATTCAATGAAAAATCATCACGAATACAAACAATCTTCAAAGAGCATCTTCATTTATAAAAAAATATTTTTTGAAGAAGGATATTAATGTAAAGATGCAAATAAAACACTTTTTTAATTCAGATTGAAATCAATTTGGTCGT